GGACAGTGTCATTGTCAATATTACAGTTATGTACATCATAAGGTGTTCGCCTTTTTGTTCTTGAACCTCTCAAACATACAAGGGCAGAACGCAGAAGAGCAAATGGATGTTCTAGCACGAATCCAAGAGATTGTTTTTGCGTCTTGTTCTCCTTTCTTGTGTGATATCTTGTCGGCCAAATGACTATGATATGCGTGGCTTTTGTTACCCATCCCCCCTGTAGTCGTAAATACCAAGGGTGTAAATGAGCCTTGCTCGATGTCTATAACTCTCCTTGAGTATAACTCTCCTTGAATAATGATAATAATCTTAATAATAATACTAGTATTTTTTTATTTATTTTTTAATGAAAACTTACATAGGTATAAACCTATAGTCCATAGGGCTCTATGATTATGAAATAACTGAAAATAATAAGATATCCAATGATCTAAGAAATATCTAAGAAAAATTCTAAGAAAATAGCAATATATAGCGAACATAGCAACATGATTAATCATGGGATTGATAAGAAATATCTAATAAACAATCTAATAAAAATTTAAGAAAATAATAAAACAYCTAATGATTTGAGTAAAGATACGCTATTTAAAAGAAATATGTCTTCAACTTATTCTTGAATATATTTTAATATTTAAAAAATATGTATCATGAAGTGTCGAAGATCGTTCGGGAGAGAGTTCTACAATCATGGTGTAACTTAATCCTTYTTGAATATGAAATTCATGAATATCATTATTCTAATATTTAGATATACATAGATAATAGAGTATGATATCGATTTTAATATTGAACTGCAGTGAATAAACTGAATACAGTTATTGTAACGAACTCTACTTACATTTGGAAGCCTGAATGAACATGGTTCGCGATATTCTACCATTGTACAAGACTGAGAAACTGACTCTTCAACTTGGCTTTATATTTCGCAACTTTTGAACCTCATGGCCAAGCATTCTGGTCAGTTTCTGCTCTAATTTTTGGTCTCCATATATATGGTTGTATGTAGACGAGATAGAAGTATTTAGTAGCAGATTTTCGCTCTACTTTGACTGCTAGGTTCCATGAACTGCCTTCTGCGTATGTTGTAGCAAGCAATATCGATGTTTTTTTGCCTATTTYTTTCTAGCGTGACCACAAAAGAATGAGAATTTTCGCACTAATAGCACAAAACAATTCATACCGAAATGATAATCAAAGGACAGAAAGAATAATAAACGCAAACTAAATAGGTCTTATACAAAATACATCCTAAACTCTTCTCTAGGAAATAAATAATTGCCATTTTAAAACTTTTGAAAATTAAAAATACTAAATTTCATGAGACTTTGGAAAGATTTCGTGTCCAACTTTTTCTGCACAATATATTTATTAGTTTTCTTTGATTATGAGAAAAAGGAAAGAGAGTTTACAATTGTGCGTTAATTTTTTTAGTAGAACTCTTTATCTTGGGTGTAATCATACTGTTTTTAAGCTGAAGAGATATATAAAGATAAAAAGGGAGGAGATATGAACAGAAGGAAGACAAAATGTCATCTTGAAGATCGTGTGGGTTGTCACTTCCTGATGTGAGAGACGCCTTACTARAAGTCGTTAAGTCAATGTCAAATACATATTTATTTTTCTACATTATAATCTAGTAGAATTTCAGTTTACCTGACATGTTATGCTATCTATTTGTCTCTTA